TTTTGTTGTTTATTTTCATGCAACAGCTACAGTGGCATCAACTCTTCCCAAATGGGCCATGCAACACAATTTGAATTAATAAATTTTCTTATAAATTACAACAGCTCCTCCTCTTCCTTGGAGCTCTCTCGAATGTTTGTAGAATGCGTGCCTTGATCTTTGCCAGCAGCGGAAGCATCAATTAGACATTGGAAAATTTATGAAATACTTTGGGATAAAGCCGTGAATCGGCTCAAGTGGCATTGGCTCCTAGGAAATCCTAATCGTTGACGCCACGCGACAGGATGTTTATGTGGCTCGAGATACTTTATGCACCTTCCAAAAAAAAGGGGATAATTGGAAGAAGAAAAACTAGTAAATCCTCAGTTTGTTTTTTTTCTGTAGGAGAATCTTTTATTAAAGATTTTTAGATCTTTTGGATTCTTTGCTATTTTTGATACGACTTTCCCTTACTTTCCTTTACTTTAACCTGCTTTTCCTTCTTTTTTCTATTCATTTTTCTCTCTGCATATAAACAAGAAATGCCATAAGCCCTAGCACCTAGATAATAACTAGTTGCAATGACATCAACTGGTTTGGGACCAGTTTCTCGTCTGATTTGCAGTTCCTGCTTATGGGCAGCCACCTCTTTTCCCGAACCATCCATGCTTCATTTATCGCATAATTTGCATGAGCCGCCTTCCTCCCTCCCCCCTGATGCTGATGTGAAATTATTTTTACATTCGCGAAAGTCATCTGGAATCGGGGAATGGCATCTGCTTTCAGAGATGCGAAACTTCCGGCCAAGCAACTGGAACTCGGAGTTGCAGCGATGCAGATTGCAACATTCACAGATGTTGCGCATGTGCCCTGGCATCTAATGCATCGCTGCCACTTGAGATGGTTGTGGAAATTGGAAATGGGGAAGTCCCTTATGCATATTTCAACGCCTTTTTTGGGTAAATACATGAGAGTACAAGCCTGAGAAGACGACTGCCTAACCAGAAGCCGACGAACCGAACGGAACTCACACGAAATCGTATCAAATATCGAGGGAAGCTGACAGCTAAGGCATAAACAAAGAGGCAAAATATGAAAAAACAATAACGCCGAAATGGGGAAAAACGAAAGGGAAAGGAAGGGCACACAGGGTCGAAAGTGGGTGTGAGAGGTCCAAAACAAACAAATAAGAGAGTTCGAAGTAAAAAAAAAAGAAGACAATGCGGATATACACTTGCACTGGTAAGTTAAATATGCACAGAAAGAAATAGTCAATAGATATTTTTACAAAGAAATTAAACCTACAGTTAAAGAACTCTTCCCCAATGAATATTGTATAAATTATTTCTCTAAAATATTCAAAATTAAATAGGAAATTAATTATTATTGCATTAATTCAGAATTAATTTAGAACTTTCTCTTTAGGAAAACAAAAATGCGCTCTAAGTTCGTTTTCCCCATGTATTTCTTTGGTAAAATCCAGAAAAAAAGTACCTGTTATTTGTTATTTCAGTGTTTTTCCCCTATAGACCGGATCCGTTTCCAAGCCTTTGTTTGTTCCTATCTCCCTCTCCATGTGTGTGTGTGTTTGTCCAAAAACTTGGTAACTTCTCCAACTTGCCATTTGCATTTCCCACGATGCCAAAGGCTGGAAAACCTGAGGCGAAACAGTGAGGCTGCGAGTACAAGGAATGCCAAAGTCAACGTCAAAGTTGAACGTGTCAGATACAATTCCATCGCTGTTGTTGTTCTTGTTGTTGCTGTTTGGGTTATGTCTTTGTTTTGTTTTTGAGGCCAAAGAAGCTGGCAACTGTTAATTGGAATTCGGACCGGACCCGTCCCCCTGTCATCCCCGATTATGTTGAAATTAATACAATCTTTCTATTTGGCCGGGGAGCAGAAACCCTGAAACAGAAAGATAAATATACAAAATTAACACGTACTCAGGTGAAAATGAGCAGGTAGTTACCCATGTGTGAGTGTGTGTAAAAGGACGGCGCACACACAGTGAGCCGTGGCACTCGTAGAGCAAATAACCCTAATAAATAAGCCAAGTCGCTCGATTGGCGGGGCCATAGCTCCGCAGGAGTGGGGGCATTGCCAAGCCAAGATGTTCATGAAAAAAGTTAATTAAGGTGTTTGCCCAACAACAACGCCGGGCATTATATGCGAGATATTTATCTCCCGGCGGACACACAAGGGAACGACTGTGGCCGGAGGGGATCCTATGGCTGGAGGGATCTGGATCTCGTTCTGGTTGTGGGTCCGGGGGTCTGCTTATGGCTCGGTTGCATGCCTCGGAGTGTTTGCCTTTGAAATGTTTGTCATTATCGTCGTTAACTTTTTGATGAGTCGAACGTGTGTGATAAAAGTGTCACAAGGATTGAAAAGAGACCGATGAGGAGGGAGAAGGGAGAGGAGAAAGGAGAGTGAAAGGAAAAACTAATAACGCAGGCAGCAGAAATAATTTTGTACGTGAGTGTCGGATGTTAGAAGCAGAGATGACGTCCTTTTTAAAGAAAATATTCGATATTTTGGGGAACTCTTGAAAAAATAAACAAAGACACGACACTTTTAGGGAATTATTTGTATTGAACGGAGACAAATTAGCTTAATATCAAATTAGCTTAATATCATGATGCTTTAAGAATTATTCGTTAAAAAAAATATATATAAATTTATTCCATTTTAAAACTATTATTTGTCGAAAAAGCAGCCAACCCCGCATCTCTGACCAAGAACGACTGAGGCACAGTTAGCGAGACAGCGGCGGGCAGCGCAACGAATGTATCTTTCGGATACCAATTGCCATTAGTTTATTGAGAATCTCGAATTTATTGCACTGCGTGTCGTGGCCAACCACGCACAAATGGTCACAAATCTGGGCCTGCAACACATGTGGGCCTGGACTACTGGCCTCCTCCACCTCCTCCACCTTTTCCACAAGTATTTACTTTGGCTCCTCCGGCATTTGTGGCACGTACAAAATTCATTTGTTGCACTATTTATGTGTCGCCCTGATGAAAATGAAATCAAATTAAATTTTCGGCACAATTCAAAGTGAAATTTTGCAGCAACAATAAACAAAGCAAATGAGGAATAAATCTCTCGAAACGACGGCTTACGTGATGTACGTTTTCCCATATGGGGACCGTGAATGGGAAATTACAGGAATTTCCACATCGGTCGAAATTACATACTTAGGTAATATCCCGAATACTTATCCTAGCCAAGGATAGGGATACTAGGAATTCCGAATGAGAACTGTAGGAGAATTGGTAAATGGGTAGGCGGAATAATAAAGCAAACAATTACGAAATATGCATATCAGAGAGTTATTTGACTACCTGAATTCTTAAATAATTCTTGGAGGCAGGTAGATATAGAAGTTATACCTAATTGTTTAAATAATTTCAATTTATAGATGAAATAAATATTTATAATACTTATTAAACTAAAAAAAAGAAAGATATGATATGATATGATATGAAATTATCTTAACAATATACTAAAATTTTCATTAAATTTATTAATAACAAGAAAGGAAAGCCGAAATTTGTATACCCTTGCAGTTTGCCTTAGATCCGATGCCTTGGATCTAAAATCGATCATAACTAAGCGAAAAATGCATTAATTTCAATACGGAAAGCTTTCCTATGTTAGTTTTTCAAATGTTAATTAATCTGCATACTAATTTAAAAATGTAAAAATATTTTTAAAAAATCCCAATTTTTGAGAATTTTTAGAAAAAAATTAAACATTTTTGTTTTCTTTCCTACGTGGCTAAAAAGACTCTCCTGTTAAAGCTGATCAAGAATATATATAATTTATAGGGTCGGAAATGGCTTCTTCTTTGATTTGCAAGCTTCTGACTAAAATTATAATACCCTGCAAAGGTATACAAATTTTAGGCAAAGTCAAAAACCCGCAAGATATACATATCTCCCTCTCTATATCTAAATACTGAAACGTCCTTATTTTCCAAAAGCCGTTAATAATTCTCAAAGCAATATAATTTCCATTTCACACTTGCCACTCCGCCCCCCGGGGGACGCTGTCTCACCTGAGCTGGAAGGAAGCGCACACAAACAATTGCATCGCTTCCACTTCATTTAAGTCGCATGCTACAGGGCAAGGGGAAAGGTGTAAAATTAATTGCCAACATGTCTCTTACGTGCACTGGCAATTACATTTTACATTTTACATTTACGACTGGCACGCCGGCTGGGGAAGGGGGAGAAACTAACTAATCAACTAATAAATCCATAATCACTGTTATTAGGCGAGATGCTCTCAACCGGTCCAACTTGGCTAATAAGAACTAACGTGGCCAACAACAACTGCCGGCATTTCCCCCGAAAACAAAACAAATCAGACAGTCTAGCTCCAGAGAGACGGAGAGAGCTCTCTCCTAAACTCTTATAATCGCCGAACACCTTTCGTGGGAGTTTGGACTCTCTCTCGCGTTTTTGCTTTTATCGCATGCGATTTTGCTTGCAGTGCAAGGAAAACGAATAAAGTATACGGATCCGAGGGTAGCTCGTGTGCGGCTCTCTTTTATGCTCGGTCCATATGATTGTTCTCTCTGTTTGATACCCTTGAGTGATGGGAGAGGTATGTTCGATCGATGGCTAAGTTATAACTTAAAAATAATAAAGGGTATAAGTAATAAAGGCGCCACCAACAAAAATAATATATGTACATAAACTTAAGTTGTCACCTTGATTTGAGATCTATTTATTATTATTTTACATTTAATCAAATGCATTTATTTTTGCTTATCACAAATATTAAGCATATTGACCATATTAAGTTGAGTATACGCAATGGCTTTAAAGCTCATCACTCATACGCACTGTTATTTAAAAAAAAACTATAAAAATAAGAAACAAAATTCTCAAAATTATATTTAAGCTGACAAATAACTCCTGCTAAAAATACAGAGTATCCCGACGGCGACTGCTGCGTTTTCACACCCTGTCTGGGACCGGCAGCCAGCTCTCAGTTTTTTCCGAATCGCCGACGTGAACGGACGTGAGCGGACGTGCTGTTCGCTGTTTTGAGATTTTTGGATTTTCCCAAGCCAGACTCGCGCGTTCGTGTGTTGTGGGCCGCCTTTGTTTGTCTCATTTTAGCGGCCAGCGATTTGGCAACCGATGCGAAGGAGCCAAAAGGCCCAAAAAACAAGACACGGCGCGCAATTAAATGCAAATGTGTGAAAGTGTAGCGCCCGCTCAACCAAAGGCATAATAAGCATATTTCGCGGCTCCAGAGTGCGAACAAGATCAAAGCGGGGGAGCAAGAGACAAGTGCGTGATTTTTCGCGAACAAATATTAATATTTGCGAAAGAGATCGCCAGATCGAAACAGCAGCAGCAGCTAATCTCACATCGCATCGCAAAAGCGAGTATTTAAAACGGTAAGTTTTTACGCCGTCTTGTTCGCATTACACTTTGAGCCTAGGCCCAGGCCCCATCTCGCTCTGACACACTACATATCTCTCCGCCCGTTTTGCTTTGTGCTAAGCTTCGCTTGGCGCGCGTTTCGAGCTTTACCTCGCCCTCTTCCTCCCACCCGCAGATCAACCGATATTGCCTATTACTGCGGTTCATTTGCGTGTCGCTAGCCCCATCTCTTTCCGGCGAGCGAAAAATAACTGTTACAACAATCATTGCTGTTGTTGCACAATTTTCCCATGCGTTGTGTGTGTGTGTCACTTGTTGTGTGTTTCCTTGGTTTTCCGGTGGAAAATGTGCGGTGAAAAGTCTGGCACTTGCAGGTGGAAAACCTGAAAAACCCTGCCCAGCAAGTGCATTTCGGCCTTGGCTTCAGGCCCAAAAAAAAATAAACAAATAAGAAAAAACATTTTCAGCCTTACGCATCCAAAGCTTCAGCAATGCGATTTTGGCCAAAATAAAAACCAGTTTCGAAAAGCAGTAAACCACAACAAAAGTTTATTTACTCCAAAAGAGAGCTTCGCTCAACAGGTTTATTTTATTTTTTTTTTTTCAACGAGAGGGGACTTTTATTTGCTCAGAAGCTTCAGACGGTGGGTATTTCTGGGTAATGCAATTCCGATTTGTGCAATTAAAAGTACTTGATTTATAGAACCTTTGTGGCTGAAGATGCTGAATCAAGGGAGTGTTATAGCAATATTCCCTGTGACGACGATGAGTTTGTTAGCTTCGTTGTGGTTTTTCCAGGTTTAATAATCTTATGGGTTCTGTATTTGTAAATTATTTAAATATTTAAACAACCTTTGACGTTAAAGATTCTGATTGAAGGGAAAACAAAAGTAAGATTCTCCGCTTTTTACAACAGGTTTCACACAGTCCGGGTTCAAGATATAGTGGATACTGAAACTGTACAGATTTTCCAATTAATATCCTTATAAATATTTATAGAAATTTGTGTGAAGTAAAAATATAATAATGCTTATTTCCCAAGCTTAAGTTCTTATCATTTGCCTGTTTAAAAAATAAAATTGTTATTATTGTTAAGATAAACTATGTTTGAATCCCAGTAATAAAAGAATATCGATTTAATATATATTTAAATTTTTAGTGCAGCGTTAAATAATCAAAATTTCTTTTAAGAAAATTATATTTATTTAATATTGTTATTATTATATAAAAATAAACATATATTAAAAATACTCCCTGGGATTTTATTTATTTATTATTATGGCTTTTCCAGAGCTCAAGTTCAAACCATTTATGGTTTCTTGGTTTTTACAAAAACACAATTCGTTTCATTGGAATAAACACTGAAATGTTTTCTAACTGATAAGAAGACACATAATGGACCATCGACAAGTTCAAAGCTTATCAGGCAGACGTCGATTATATTTCGGAATTATAAGTTTCAGATCTTAAATATATTCTTATGTTTTATGATTAGAGTATATTTTCTTCTCTGATACTAATACACCTTGCCAGCTTCTTGCCATTGCTCAGAAACTAGTTCACGTAGGGATTTGGGTTAAAACATTTCCTTTGTGGCCCAGAATCAAAGGCGAGAAGCTCTCAGCTCTCAAAAAGGCACCAACAATGGCGTGAAACAAAACGGAAAAAAATGTGAGTCTTTGAGTCTGCAAAGGTAAAACTGCGGAAGTCATTTAACAGTCTACTTAACTTCTGCCAAAAATGCTAAAAAAAAAAAGGTGAAAGAAAAGACGCGGGAAAAGGGAAAAATGAAGTAGAAAACGGCAAACTGGAAACGTTCAAGATGGCTTTTCGGTCTCCTCCGGTCTTTGGTCATGTTAGAAAGTAGCTGTAATTGCGGCTCCCCGTAACTGTTATTGTTACGGCCGCCACTCGCTCAACTGCAGGCGGTAAAAGTTGCCCAAAATGAATTGTCATACACGACGTTTGTTATATATATTTTTGCACTGTCTTACAATAAGACAGACAGACAGAGTCATACACATTTGAGATTCATTGTTGTGTATTCGCCTAGTTTTTTGCCGCTTTTGTGGGCGTTTGTCCACTGAGCTTTGCTTTTTGTATTGTTTTCAAAACTTTCTGCGAACTGATAAGCGAAAATACAGAAAAAATAACAATAATAGAAGCTGACGAACTCCGGTTTTGGTTTTTACATCCACTGCCAAGTTGTTTTTTTAGCTGTTTTGCTATTTCACTCTTCATTATTGGCGACTTGTGTTTGTAATTAGCAAGTCGTCTTTCAATATTTCTATGACTTGCGGTCTCCGCTCAGCGGAATGAGTCAGCGGCTGAGACAGAGAGAAAAGAGCGCTTACGATCGTTTACCCAGATGTCTCTCACTCTCCCGATCGGCGATCAGCGAGCGGTTAAACCCAAAGTCAAGCCCGATCTGTGACGTCAATGGGAGAGCAATCGCATAGAAATAAAACCAGATCTAAGACAAAGCAATATTATATTTAATATTAGAAATAATTAAACTTAAAGTAAAACATTATTGTTATCAACTGAATAAAGAGTGTTCATGAATAATGCGATACATCTTGAAGAAAAGTTTATGTATATAAAATATATATAGTATTTTTTACGTCTTCCTGAGGCGTTGCTGATAAGCAAGCAAACAGTAGCAACTGAAGTAATTATTCCGGAGGGACCTTAAAGCCACTGATTCTACATTGTTTCCTTAATAAAATAAAAAACAATTTCTTTGAGAGCATTTCTTAACTTCTATAATCATGTGAAATGTTCAACAATGATTTTTTACAAACAAAAAATATATGAATTGAAGACTCTGAAGTATAATTTCTTCCTCTAACCCTTATTTTCAATATTCATTCCCTTCTCTGTACCATCTACGTGTGAGGTTTATACTCTCATCTAGCACTAGATTGAAATCAGATAGACTTGTCCGGTCAGTCTCGGGGTTTATTGCGTTGCATTCAATTAATTAATTCCTATTTTATAGCCGCAGCTGACCATAAAAACGTGAAATGAGGAACAGAACCAGCATGGGTTACATACATAGTTCCCCACTGCGACATTCTCTAAAAATGAAATGAAGTCGTTGCACTTGCTTTCACCCTAATGCCTTCATCAGCTGCACAAACTAAGAAGAGGAATCCCATTCCCATTAATTTTCCGCCGTCTCTCTATCTCGGGGTTATCTCCCATTGTTTGCCCTCGTCCTTTTGTGTTCTCTATATCTACCTGCGTGCGCGAGTTTCCCTTTATGAATTTATTTCGGTCGTTGCCTGGACATGTGGCTCTCTGATCCGTGTCCTGTGTCCTGTGCTCTAGTTCATTAGAAGGACTTTGCTAATCGATTTCCATAATCAAACAGCTGGCGTTAGAATGTTCTGGCTGAGTGAGACATGGCAAATTAAGCAGAGTAAATGTTGATATAATAAACCTCTGGTCGGGCCAATTAGACCCGCTCCACCTCACCTCACCCACCGGGCGGGCGGGCGATAGACCCACATATTTTCTCATTTAAATAAAGAAATACACGGCCTACCACAGCAGGGGAAACATTAGGCGAGCCTAAACGTGGAAATTAGCGGCCACGGTAAAAGCCAACAAAAAATGCCAAAAAAATAAAACGAAGCATACAGAAAAAATAAAAAGAGAAATTTAATTAAAGCCACATAGAAAAAATGCATAAATTTAGTCACCCAGACACCCACCTGGCATGTAATATTTGTAACCTCCGAGGCTGGAAAAAAAACGTGTAATTTTCACGGTCCCCGAGCTGCAGCTTTTCACCAACTTGGCGCCGGGTCAGTCCGGCATAATGATTAGGGTCAGCGTGGGGTCACTGGGGTGGCAGCGGCGACGGCTTCAGCCCGAAAAGGAAAACTCCTGCCGGACAGCAGCAGCAGCAGGTTGCTTATAATTTTCATTTTCCATTCTCCTTCTCATTTTCCTTTGGCTTTGTTCTGCCAGAGATAAAAGCATTTGTCATTAGCATAAAATGTTCAGGTTCAGGTTTTGATCTGGAGTTTGGCCGAAAAGAATATTTGAACTTCATTAGTGGGCCAGTCAGCCAGGCAGCCCAAGGCCCTAATGGGCACTTGGCTATAATTAAAATTTAAGCTAATTTTAATGCTCACAGCGGCACAGTAGAGCAGTAAGTCAGCGGCCACAATCTGGGCCAGATATTAAAAATACCTGAAATGGCAGAGAATGGTCTTTGTTAGCCGCTTGATTGCATTTTAAGAATTGGACACGTGCCCTAAAAACATCTAAGATGAAAAATGAAGAGGAGAATATAGATTAAAAAGCGGTCTATAAGAATCTGGACATACAATAGACTTTTGTGGAAAATGTCTTAAGGTTTATGTTTTCTTCAGGTATTACTGTTCCTAAGCCAATGAAAATTCTTTACAACTTTGCACAGGGTATATTTAGTCTACAAAGATTCCGTGAAGCTTCTTTAAAGCCAAGAATTTTCATCAACATTTTAATCTTTAATTTCTTACGCTTTATTTAATTGACTCCTAATGTATGCAAGTTGTAGTCTCTTAATGGATTCCCCTGGATGTTCTAACACTTCCCAGAAACCTTTTACTGTACCCGTAGGAGGAAACATTCGAATGCCTAGCCATTGATGGGTATTCAGTGATAAAAAACCAGCCCACGCAAAGGTTATCAACAAAGGTTATGGCCGGGGAAAAGACAGGAAAAGCCTCTTTTGTAGGTGCAACCAAAAGACGATCGAGTCATCATGCCTCGCTGAGCACTGAGTAGTAGTGCCCTTGTCAGACAAAAGAACCCTCGACGGCGAACAAAGTGCAACGTCGCGAGATTTAAGCCGCTGATAGAAGTCAAAGAGATAGTGTAGACTCACTCCAAGATGCCACAGATAGAGCGTTCCCAAGAGCGACCACTCAACGCTTCGCCCTTCGCTTCGATGGTCAGCAATTAAAGGGACTGGGACCTGGGACTGCTACTGGTCCTGCTCCACCTTAATGATTGATATCCGCCCAGCGGGGCCTGGGAAACTATTTAAGCCATACAAACACACGACACATTGCGATACATGATCCCCAATAACCGAAATGTCAGGCCCCTCGAATTTACATCAATGGCATATATCGGCTGAAAATTTAATAGCACATTAAGGGCGGACAAGGACTAACATTTGCATTCCTAATGAGACAGACACGCACAGACACACAGCCACACAACCCGACAGCAATTGGTGGGGACAGTTGGAATTATATAGCAATCAGTCGTGGACTCGAATGTGTCAATATGTTTCATTGGTGGGTCGTCACACCGGAGGAGGAGGAGGCTTCAGCTCCGACGGACTGTCTGCAATTTTTATGCAGGCTTTATAAACAATTCACTTCCCAGCGAAATCGGAGCAAGACTGATGGCCCGGGTACATGTAAATCAATACACAAACAAATTATAAATGCAAACACAGACGGGCGGGCGAGACAGGAGCGAAATGTCCGACTGTTTGCACAGATTGACGCCATTAAAATCAACGTATGACATTTTTTATATGGACCCTTGGACTCTGACCTCTGCAAATACATGTGGGAATAAATACACTCGGATGAAAAATTGGGAAATTGATTCCTTAGGAAATGTATTGCACTGAATTCTGTGTTTAAAAACCTCTAGAAAAATAATATTAGGCTTCAAATTATAGTTTCATTATAACCTTTTTTCAAGGCACCTAGTACCTATGAATTCTTCAAGTTTAAGAAGCTTAACTTCCCTGAGGACATTCTCTTCCTTCTCAATTTACATGCACCATTTTGTTTATATTTTTCTCCAAGTATACACATATATCCAGGCCACCTCTTAGATGGACAGTCAATGATAATCGGTCAACAGAACCAAAGCCCCAAACACGAAGCCGAATCTGAGGCCGAATCCGAACCGGAGTTCGAGTCATGCATGTTTTAAGCTGCCCGCTGTGTGTGGATCCACAAAAGAGGTCGTAAAGCCGAGTGTCATAAACATAAAATTGATTCTGATTTTGTTAGTCTCCCTTGGTTTCTCGGGTCTTTCCCACTCTCTCTCGCTCTTCCAGTGTTACTATCAAAATCTGGTTCTGGCTCTGGCGGGGTGTGCTTAATTTTTAATCGAGTCGCGTGGGCAGACCTTCGGAGGCCCTCTATATTGATTTCGTTTCAGATGTTGAATCCAAAATTCCCGTACGCATTAATTGCTGTTATTATTAGGACAATGCGCATTAATTATGAAAGAAGCAAGCGTAGATTATATCACAAGTGCCTGCCCCTGAGTAGCAGTTGTAGTGTCCATAGTCATACTTTTTAATGGCCCATAAACCCGAGGAAGCAAGAGAACATTATCGATATTCTGTGTATGCCCACGTATGCCTAATTTATGGCCCAGTCAGCACAGAAAGTTTAATGAACCTGCAGCTTAAAATCGTAACTTCTGCGGCTCCCGCCCCATGAAAGTCGGCCTATCTGCCGACGCCAAGCACCGAGTTATTAAAACAGACAAGTCTGAGAGGTGCCGCCACCACAGCAGAAGCTAAAGCCAAGACCCCAAGACTTGAAACACGAAAATATGTTACAACAGGCGGGTACAGTGCGTCACGCTGTTGTTAGGTGAATTTACGGAAAAGCGAGTCATTCCTGAAAGGAATTAAGCCGTGATAATGTGAACCTAATGGGAGTGATATAATAATGATTCAAAGTTTTTCTATATATTTTTCAAGGGTCATTGACAGAATATTCTTATACATTTGATATTTTGAGTTTTTTATATACATATCTATCCTCTCTAAAAATAATAAATTGGAATTCTTAAACACACTCAACAAATATTTTTAAAACCTTGCTTAATCTGGGACTTATAGCTATGATCTTTAACGTACTACTGACCGTCTTATACCCCCGAAACGCAGTGCACTATGTGGTATGCAAGTAGGAAATGAGTGTGGCTTACTCACACATAACGGGGTCGCAGGCGGTTGGCGGTTCGTTTCGTCGTGATTGCCGCGTTGTGGCAACACCTTTGAGCCGGCTGATCATGCGCGGTGGAAAACTTGGCGGGGAATGCACTTTTCCAATAATTTGGTTAGCGCGATAAAGTGGCTGCTTGTGGGATATTTTGACTTGATGTGATTCTGTGGCTAACCAATTTACCGACGGATCAGGCGGCTCCTTCTGCCGTGATTATGTTAATCGGGGAGAACCATAACCATCGTGGGAATATGGCCCAGCAGCGACACAGGCCGAGATTTTCACGTAAGCCGCTTAAGCCAAACAAGTGAGTGTGGGGTGAGCAATGGGAAAGGGAATAGAATTTCTTTCTTTCTTTCTTTTTTTTTTTTTGGGAACGGCAAACAGCCGAGACGAGTCCAATTTTGGTCTCTGAACCATTTGACAAATAAGACTTTTCATGTCGACAGCCATCGCGCTGCGCCTCGTCTCCGTTTCGTTTTGTAATTATTTTGCCAGGCAGCAAAATGAAAAGGAAAATTCTGTTTTCATGAAAACTGTCAGAGGCCAAAAACTAAAAGCAAACACAAGATAAATAAAGCACTGCTTATTGCTGTCCTTTGGCTGTGTGTTTGTCATACAAACAGGACGAGCACAAAAAACAGTGCCAGGAAAAAGAAAATGAAGCTCCGGAGAAAAGTTTCATCATTCGGTTGAGAAAATTAATTAAAAGATAATGATGAATTCGCTGTTTGAGCTTCACACACACACAGTTAGCAGTGAGAAGGAGATATTTTGCCGGAAAGCAATTAGAGGAAACCAATTATGCCAAATAGTTTTGCCTTAAAGCCCTGCCCCAATCGGTATTATCCGTGCCAGGCCGCCCCCAGTCATCCTGATGACCTGTTTGCATGTCTGCCACTTTGCCTGTCGACACAAAAGGCACTGCCCTGCTAAATATTGATCAATTATGTCAGTCCTGCTGGGACTCCTGGCAATTTCAGCTGTCCCTGGCAAATGCATCCCCTAGCCCATCCATCATCCTGGTCTTGTTTTTTCGTTTCTAATTCGTATATTATATTTCTTTTTATTTGCAGGTAAGCACTGTTTGGAGGAGCTTCAAGTACGCGAATTTGGGTTTTTTCCTTTGTTGAGAATGTGAGTATCCTTGAAGATGGAGCGTTTCCTGCTTGAAACTTGATGCCTATTCAAAAGATTCAAGTCCGTTGTTGTTGTCTGTCATGAGAACTCGAGCATTATTTCACAAACTTTCCCACACAAAATGCTATATACATATATACCCAAAAGGCTTGCCCCAGGACATTCGCATATACATAATGCATAAATATAGATGAATATTTAAAAAGCTCTTTAAGTTTCGATGCAAAGAGCATCTTTATTTGAATTCGCAATTCAAAGGCTCTCAAGCTGTTGTTGCGAATTAACATTCAGAACGCTTCAGGCCAGGCACTACATGTGACGAGTGTTTGCAGGGCATTTAAGTTAAGTCGAGCTAAAAACTTCCTCTGACATTAAGGCTCTTTTTTCCATCCCATTGTTGTGGCTGGGCAAAGCAGATAAGCCAAGTTAAGGGGATTTGGTATACTGGAAATTTCACGCCTCACCAGAATATCGATTAGAATTGTTCAATTTCAATTATCATCCTCCGGAAAATGTAAAGATTTTCCTCCCAATGATGATGATGACAACGATAATGAGAGAGCGAGAGAAATAGCTAGTAGGGAAGGAAGATGCCCAGGCTTTTCCGACAAAGCCTGTTCGAGCGAGCAACATGGAAAACGTGAGACGTGAATTGCATAAAATTTAACACTAAATAGCCCCAAAAAATTGCTGACTTTCTGCCTCGACGAAGTGAGGCTTTTTGGAGTCTCAAATTGGGATTCTCGAACGCCCCGCTGTCGATTGATGCGCCAATAAAATGAAATAAAACAAAATTAATGAGCAGCCGTTCGTGCCGAGCCTGGGCCCCGGGATTGGAAAATTGCGCAAAATAAATTAAATTAAGCGTTTGTTTCTCAGGATTTTTCCCCGGTCACAAAATCGAATCGGGCCCAGGCGAAGATGTATGGCATTTTAAAAAGTTTTAGCCCAATTTAGCCCAGTTGATTGTAAATAAGTACACACACACACAGCACACAGAGTACAGGCTTTGAAAGCGACATCTTGAAAAGCAAAGCAAATCGAAAATCGTGACGGGAATGCATGAGAGCCGATGGATGATGGTCCCAATGGCTGGGAACCGTCCCAATAGGTCTAGGTCCCGTCGCAGACTCCATGGAGACCTCTGCCTCAGCCTGCTTATTTATCCTTAGATCGCCTTAATTGCTGCACACAACGGCACACATTTGATTCAATCAAACAGAGTCATTGATTTTGTGTCTTATTATTTCGATTCTCCCCCCAATCGAGTATGACTTTTTCGTGTAATTGAAATAAAAGTAATTTTTCGGGGGGAAAATGCCTCCTTTTGTTGGGGGCGATCTGGCTTGGAAATTTATTTAAAGCGCCAAAGCATTTTCAATTAATTTGCCGGCAGCGGTTTGGGGGTGCCAGGGTCCAGCAACACCGCAAAACAGCCGCAAAGAATTTTATTTATTTATATTGAGCTCGTCGGAGCAAAAGTGTCAACGGGGAGAGGTGGCAGCAAGGACCCCGCAGAGTCCTTTCTCCGAGCTTTTCATGTAGATTTTATTTGCGACAAGCAGCCGCGAGTCAACAAACATAAGCACACACACCCGGCCCGATCTCAGGACCAACCCAAGCCCAAACCCATGCCAAGAAATTGAATTTTACATGTATTTTTAATATTTACCAAGCGGCAGCAGCCAGAGCCAGCCTGCAACAACAATAAAAAGCGAAAGGGACTTGTTTGTCTTGTTTGCGCCCCAAAGGCAGCTACAGTTTTTGATGTATGAATACCCTGGATATGGCCGCGGGTCCTGAAACTTACTGCCACAGTTTGCAGTCTTCAAATAAAATAATAAAGGTATTATTTTTATAGCACTTTCTGTACAGTATAGTTTTCATATAAAAGATTTATAACAAATACTTGATGGAAACTTTTTGAGAGAGTTTTTCCTGAAGGGTACTCACAATTCCGGGCTCTTCTTTCTCCTCATCTGCATCCCTTTTATCGTTTGTCTGCGCCAAAAGGAATATGAAACAAAAACTGAAGACAAAACATATTGAATTTCCACCGCTGTCCCTGGCTCGACCCGCGCTTTGTTATCATTTTATTTTTCCCTTCTTTTTTTTTCCTTTGGTTGGTTCCTCTCTTGCCATAATAAAATGGAAAATATTTGTTAACGTTTTTATGCAAATCAATGACGCTGAGGCGTGGGCTAAGCAAATGCGGCCAAGATGCGGTACTGCGGCGGGGGAATTTATAATAAAATTTTGACATGGCGACAGAACAACTTGACAGCCATAAAACATCAAAAAGTTATCGCTCCATCGCCGGAACCCCAGCCAGATCCAAAGGATCCCTCTGCATCAACCGTGCCGCGGGCGGATGGGATGGACATGTGTCCTGGCTGCTCTGAACAAACCGTTTTTCTTTTTTGGCTGCCTTTTCGTAAATTTAAAATCAAGAAAATGCGGGAATTACGTTTGTTTTTTTCCCCCTCCTTCAGCTGATGCTTTTTTTTCACCCGAAGTAGTCCTTGTTTTCATCATCAGCAGTGAAATGCATAAAGTTTTTCACAAAAGTTGCTGGCTGGATTTGTTTGTCGCAAAGGGTCGACAAGGAGAATAGCTGGAACGGGATCGAAAAAAAGGATGGGTATCGGGAGGACAAGGAGCTGGATCTGAAGGAGAATGGGAAAGTTTTACCCGCTGTTCGCTGGGATTTTCCTGGGGTATTAGCGTTGTTAGCCCCACGTTTTGACTGTGTTATGCTTGATTTTGCTTTGCCTTTCCCTCGCCGTACTCACTTTTCTTCTTTTTTTTTCCTTACTTGGCTTGACTTCACTTCGCCTTTGGCCCGGCGTGAAATTTTCCCTGGCTGTGCGTATATGTGCGTTCCTGAGAGGGCAAGGGAAGCGAAGGGATTTGTCAGCGAGAGTCAGAAAGGCTCGGGAATCTTTTTCTTGCGGTTAGAGGCGAAACCAATTTGTAGATTTGAAAAGTTTCTCTTCAAAACTGTTAACAGGACACTTTGAATATTCCGCAAGAGGAGAGAGAAGGATGAGGGTACTTTTTTTTATGGTTTTTGGTACTTGGCAGAGGCGGAGGCTAAAAAAGTTGGCAGGCAGCTGACAGAGAACGAGAAGTTGGCTTTTATTAGCTGTGAGGGAGCCTTCAAGTATCTGGTAATAAGTTTGCCAAGATTTTTGTCCTTGATAACTCGGAGATAATGGAGAACGAGAGAATATGAATCTGGCCTCGGATTCCTTTGTCCTGTGTCCCTTTAACTGCGCTTTGCCGCTTTTCAATAGCTTACGCTCACCTTTTACCACTCACAACCCGCTATTCAGGCCCTGCAAATACAGATTCCGAGATAAAAATCTATACGGTGTGCACATTTCGCGCACCTTGACTTGTTTGTCTGTTTTTCCCCTCCCCCTCCCTCTTTCACTTTCAATAAAAAAGCATAATTCTTGTTTTACAACGCCAGGCTGCCAGCCGCCAAGGATAATGCCTTGAATCGCCATGCCAACGCAGGGGGAAAAAAAAAATAAAAGGAAAAAAGTAACCGAGGTGCGCGGGACAACACATTCCCCGGCATATTTGCATGCGAGAGTGTGATAAAGGGGATTTGAGATTCACAACACGATAAATTGCGGTAAAAGGTGTCTCTCTCTTTCCGCCAGCAAGGACCCCTATCCTGCGGCTCGGTTTTGCTGATAGCCAAAATCTTCAGCATTGAAAAACATGATTTTTAACTGGCAGAGCTGAAAGGCAGTTCCGACAGCCCTAAATGTATATGTGTGTGTGTGTGTTCTGCTCTGTTTGCACGGTGCACAAATGAAATGAGATTTCCCAGCAGAGATAGAAATATTCACTCAGTCTCGCATTTGCAGAGAAAGAAAAACAGGTTCTTAGCTCACGACTTGAAGCAATTCCGATTTAAGAGGCCTGGGATCCCAGACATGTGACTGCCTAAGTAGCAAAACAAGATTGAAGTATTGTAAAATGTAAATTATAATTTTTAAAGGGAAAAAATTATTTGTAAATTGAGTAGAAATACATTTATTTTATCAGGGTTTAATAGAGATGCTAATTATTTGACAGAAACTAAGCGAATAACACAGATTGTTTATTAATTAAAAATATTTATTTCAAAAATTTATATTTTATACAGAAGTTATTCTGAATTGAAGAATATTATCAATGTAAATCTTACAAATATGCTCCTTTTTATCTCTGTGTATCAACACACATACACATGCAAAGCCAGAAATATATGTACGTATTCCCATTCAGGTGGAGCATATGAGAAATTCTCAATTTGAATGCAAACATGTAGGATTATTATGATTTTCTTCCTACCGTTGGCAGTTTTTCTTGTTAGTTTGCTTGCCAACTCTCTTTTTTTTCGCCCCGCCTCAATGTGGTGGATCCTGAGCCAGGATATGGGTAGTCTCGTATGAGTGTGTGCATGCCTTTGCCAGGAATGTTTGGTTTCTTTTTTTTTCTATATGTTTTTTCCTTGCCGAGCTGTGTGACAAGTATTAAGTGCAATCAAAAGAAGATTTACAAGCGTCATGAATGAAATATTTGCACCACATATGCCAGCACACACACGAACGGTTTGCAGATTGTATCTGTGTAGCTGCTCCGCTATCTGTATCTGCATTCGCATCTACGTATCTGCACTTGGCGCATAAAAACCCATTTGACACGCTTGATATTTATGGCGGGGCCGGGGCCCAGAACCCAACCCATTAGCCAAAAACAAACATACTTGTCTATCTTGATCAGAGGTGAGTTTAATTATTGATTATGGCGTACTGGGGAGGGGGGAAAGTCAACTGGCAGGTCAACTGGCAAAGTGAAAGGATGTGACACTGGGAAAACTTGCTAATAAATTTGTAGCTCTGCTCTGTCCGTGAAAGCGTGGCTTTTGGCTTGTTCGGTTTGTTGTTGTTTGGCTATGTTTTTCGTTACATTTTCCCAGGCGGCGGTAGTCGCATGAC